CTGCACGGGGGCGGACGGCGCAGTGACTGAGGTCAGAGGTTGATGGAGTCATCGAGAGGGTTGGAGATGACAGACTTGTGAATGAGCATGAATAGGGGCAGGTAGGCCAGGAAGTCCAGCAGGTCCAGTGGAGGAATGTGCTGCAGCTCCAGTCTGATGGCCGCCTCCTGCTCCAGATGGATTCCCCCGGCCTTCAGCTCCAGGAGCAGCTGCTCTGCGCTGATGAAGCCCTGCTGAGCTCCGGTGTCTCCTCGCTGCTCCTCCAGGAGGAACAGGAACAGTTGCTACATAATAATAATAATATTGGACATAAATAAGATTAAAAACAAGAAAAACTTTCTTGTTTGAGCACAGTTGTGAGTGTGTGGGTGTACGCTCATGTTGTGAGTAAGAGTGCGTTATTGTGTGCGCTCCTTAAGGGCAGCCTCAGATTACCTCAACCTGTTTCTAGTCTTGTTTGAGTGCACCTGTTTGCTGTTTGTTAATGCAGTCAAGGTAATAATTGTCGAGGTACAGGGGGGTTGGGAATAATCCTTCTGGCAATTAGCCCATTCCCCCACCAACCTCTCCAGTTAACAACCCTATCCCTAACAACTCTATAATTACAAAGCCTCCCCTACCTGGCCAGGGCTCAGCTTCCACACCCATGGCCACAGGCTTTCATGTTCCTCCTGCCTTTCAGTTGCTCAGTACTTCCTTGTATGAATGAGGGCCGGGCCTGCTTGTGAGCGGCCAGCTGGTAGGCTAGTACTGGTCCATCTGAGATGAGCCGTGTGTCTCAGGCTGATTACAGGGCTGGGCGGAGTGGACGGCATGTTCACTGCTGGGCTCTTTAATGAGATTAGGCCTGTGCTAATCTATGAAAAGGGAAAAGCACCCCTCTCTTTCTCCCTCTAGCTCGCTTCCCTCATTTCTATGCATGAGGGCTGAGTGTCTCTAGCTAGCTTTACAAAGCATGCTTTGGAATTGCTCTTCAAAGTGTTTACCAGTATTTATTTCATTGTAATTATACCCGCGGAGCCATGAAAGAGAGGCGGAGGTGGTGTTTGTGGCATGATTATGACTAATGTGAGAGTTAATCTGTTGTTGCATGGAGGTAATCAAGTGCACCTTGTGAAAGCAAATTCAGAGTGTAAACATGTGGCCGCACATATTAGCCAGCAAAAGTTTAGGACAATTTGGGAAGAGCTAGCCAAACCTGGGAATTACCTTCGCTTTGAAGAGCCTCACTTCTAACGAGCGGAAGTCCATGTCGCTGATTAGAGATCGCATAAACTCACTGCAACAAAACAGCAAAATCAGACGGTCAGATGGTGAAGCTCTGCAAAAGTGTGTGCAAGTGGTAGCAAAGAAATACTCAATTTTCATAAAGATATGGGACTTGCAAGAGAGAGGCCTTAGTATGGGTGAAGCTGGATCCTACCCTTCCTACCTGTTGAATGCCCACACCCCTCAGTGGCATCCAGAGCCACACAATTGTTTTTGCAATAGTAATACGAGTGACAAGTAAAGTTAAGCGGCAGCGCATCTTTAACAAGGCCTACGTCTGTCCCCATCCCCATCTGACCCATCTTACCAAAGTAAAATCTATCCAAAAATAGGAGTGTTGGTAAAATACTTTGTTTGCCACTGCAGACAAATTTAGGACAATCTGTTTGCGGTGGCGTGTGTTTTTTTGCCGCTCTGTCCTGTGCGATGATGTGTTTGCAGAGATGTGATGGTAAAGTGTTCTGAGCCCATTGTGGTTGCTCACAGTGGCCTGGCTGCCAAACAATACGTGGACATCCCGCCACAGTAACGGATAAAACTGCTCTGGTTTTGGGACAGTGGGTGTGTGTTGGGGGGGGGGGCTTGGAAGGCTGGGGGGGGGGGCTGAAGCAGGGTGAGTGAGCGGGGGTTCGCGTGGAGGTTTAGGCAGGGGAATACGCAACCAGGGCACACTCTGGTGCAATGTGACCACTCGCAGACCAACAAAATCTAGGTCTGCTCGGATAATTAGAGGGAGACACAACCAATTGTGTTGGGACAGACCTCTCCAGTCCAGCGTGTGGCACAGCGACGGTCGTCCCTTCTCTAACGAGCGCCCGGTGTTAATGAGCCCCTCCTCGCCGTGCGCTCAATGGCCTGTTGGAGCAAAGAATGGCCAAGCGCTGGGCCAACGAGTGCAATGCACGCCTGAGTGGTCCCAGTGCTGTGATTGGCCCTTGTACTCCAACCATAGTGCAGGCAGTGGCTTGATGGGGATGAAGCGAGACAGGGCAGCTAATGATCATTAATTGCACTTGGTTTGCAGTAAAATCGTCTAAATGCTGGTGTGGTAAGGACTCTGGCGTGATAATGGCTGGCGTAAACGAGGGGCTATGGGCCTGGGGATGGACGGCGGGGAGGATAATAGCAGCCTAACCCATTTTCTTTTGTCGGCCCTCCTCTTGCACCCTGCTGTGGACAACACAGTAGACTTCTCACTTACGTAACGCCCCAAAATTTTGGCGCTCTCCTCATTGGGGAGGGGGCATATAGTGAGGCGGGGGGTCAGGGGATGCAAACATATTCTGACCTAGTTTGACTTGACAGAATTGAGAGTTGTTTTGGGATATTTTTGAGCGGGCTTCAGTGGCGCTGTGCAGACTGGGTACAAGGGACCTCTCTGGAGGAGGATGGACTCTTTATGTGGCGGGAAGCAGGTCTAGGTTCTGCTGTCTCATGTTTTTGCCAACATTAGCCCTCCTTCACTCCCTGACTCATTGAGACCAGTAAATTTCCAGGAATGAGGAGATTTACAGTAACCCTCAGCGCATGCATGCATGCTCACAAATCCAACACAAGCAACAAGGGATGAGAGCGCCACTAACAATGACCGCGACGGCTCCACTGAAGCTGTTTGTGAATCCTGTATGGCAACGTGCTTCTTGGCAGATCATGTGACTTGCCCTGAGGGAATGTGGCACTGTGTGAGATGGACTTGTTGGGGAGCACAATGCTACACAGGGACAGATGGGCTGAGTCAAGGGCCAAAACAGCACGGCACAGAGGGTAAGCAACAAGAGAGCGGAGAGATTAGAGACCATGAGAGGGACGGACAGTTAAAGTTGAAAGAAAAAGAGGGAGAGCGAGGGGAAGGGTGCAATTAGTGCAAGGTAGAATTGGAAGAACAAATACATGTATAAATGTGGGAAGAACCTCTTCAGATTTCAAAGCCTTACGTGATCAGAAAGGCTGATTGTGTAACTACTGTTGCAGCTCATTTCTAAAATAGGATTAGATACAACAGGATTAACTGAAACAGGTAAGAGGATCAATTTAGTTCAGTTGGGATGAGATGACAGAAGGATGCTATTGTTTTCTCCTTGTTTAGGAGCTGGCATTATGAGCACTGATCTTCTCTCTTCTTATTATTTAAATTGCAAAAAGGAGTTTTGTGAAAAGAGGTTTAATATGGTCATTCATTATCATTACTATAATTGCCTCTATACAGAGGAGACACCCTGGTCTCCCTGTGCCAGTGGGGCAGTCAGTCTACAGGCCTCCTCTAATACACAGCACAATGGGCTGGCCGTAAATCAGAGGACCCATGACCCTGGCCCTGTCCTCACTGAGAGGGAGCTCTCACTCCGGGGTGAAGCCTTTGGGAGCAGGCCTTGACCCTCGGAGACCTCCAGAGTAGGCTTGGCTCCACACACTCCTGTCTGTAGGAAGCTATATACCCCAGGGCAGTAAAAAAAAAAAAGCGATGTGTGTGGGAATCTGCGGCATATGGGGCATAATGTAGAGACACAGGGACGCTAAGGCCGAGTTCAAATCAGAGCGATGTTTTCTGTCTGTGCGGGGTTCAACGTAGGGTGGCTATTATTATTGATTAATCTGCAGATTATTTTCTCGATTCAAAATGTCAGAAAATTCAGTTCCCACGACCCAAATGAACACGATCAGATGTCTTGTTTCGTGTGACCAAAAGTCCAAAACATAATCTATGTTTTTATCTCAGTTATAAAAAGAAAAAGTGAACTGTATGCATATTTGGAGATAAGGTACTGTGCATGAAGGCTGCACCTAATGATTATTCTTACTATCGATTGATAGTTTCATCAATAAAATGTCTGCATTTGAGCATTAGGAGCTTTATTTTCTTTAATCAAATTTCTTAAATCTCTCGTTTTCTTTCTTGTTTGATTATCTGCAGAAATACTCTTACTGCACAGAAAGTTTTGGTTTTCGGATTAAATTATTGATAACTAATAAAACTTGAGGTGACGTGTTCAAACTTCTTGTTTTATTATGTTATTATAAAGTGATATCATTCAGAGAATCTTTACATTTGAGAAGGTGAAACCAGGCAATGTTTAGCATTTTTGCTCAACAAATGACTTGATTTCAATAATGTCTATTCATTTTCTCTTGTTCTACTGATCAATGAATCATTTTAGTGCTTTTGTATATGTGGCCGTCACATCTACACTATTAACTTTGACTAGTGAAGTCACATAAATGCTTGAAGACGAGGATCAAAGAGAGCCCCACACACGTCGACTAAATCACCGGAACAAACTTGCGTAAACACTCTTATTCTTATTTATGGGAGGTCAGGGACTCCTCTTCTGGCTAAGTGCAGAGTGTTTCTGCTCATGGTCACTTACTCCATGGTGGCTATTTTCTGTGCCAGACTAGAAATCACAGCAAAGAGCCTCAGGTCTACGAGCCCATCTGTCACTCTGAAGTCCACCATCTCCAGGATCTAAAACAAAAAAAAACCCAAGAGTTTAGACGATCAGTGATGTCAGTTTTTTTTTAAATATCTATTGGATGGATTGCAAGAAAATTTTGTACAGACATTCATGATCCCCAGAGGATGAATCCTACTGATTTTGGTGATTCCCTGAGCTTTCCTCTGCCATCATCACCAGGTTTATGACCAAATATCTGCAAAATGAATGACGTTCCCAACGTTGGTTTAGTACTAGCAAATGTTAGCATGCTAACACACTAAACTAATATGGCAAACATTAAACCTGCTAAACATAAGCATGCTAGCAGTCATTATGAGCATGTTAGCATTTAGCTCAAAGTGCTACAGTGGCTAAATTCAGCATCAAAGAGCCACTAACATGGCTGTAGACTGTTATTGACTTGTAAAAGCTTAGATCTCTTCATAAAAGCGAAGACTTTGAACTTTTAATGTAACATTATACAAAAGACTTGGAAGAGGGTGGGTTGGAGTCTCTGAATCGGCCGTCATTTGTCCGTCAAATTTGGCAACACTGTGGAAGTGTGTGTGTATATGAATGGTGTATTTGTATTTGCATGTGTAGAGATGAAGTAAAAGCCGACCCTGTAGACGTAAATCTCCTCTTCATCAGACAGCAGCTCGGGAGGGATGATGTTTTTAAGAGCGAGTAGAACCTGAAGGCAGGAGATGTAGCCGTCACCATCACTGTCCTCCTGCAAAGAAAGACCATCAAGATCAGAGGTCAATGGCATCACAAGCAGACACAAGTATTCAACTTTTCAATCTGCACAATTACACTATTAAAAAAATATAATTTATCATTTGACCTTAGAAACAGTAGCTTGACAAAAGAGTGACAAAATGACCATGAGATGCAGTAGAAAGCACCAGGAAATGTCAGTCATAATACATATTTTCTTCTATTATGCCTTTAAATTGTCCAACCATTGATCTAGATAAAACAATTAGTCAATTAGGTGATTGACAGAAAATTAACCTGCAACCATTTTGACAATTGTTTAACCATTTAAGTAATTTTTAAAGCAAAAATGCACTACTTTCAGCTTCTTAAACGTAAATATTTTCTGTTGTCTTGGTCTTCTATGATAGTAAATTGATTAACCTTGAGTCTGGACTGTTGTTTAGACAAAAATAATTTAAATATGTCAATTTGAGTTCTGGGAAACTGAGATATACATTTTTTGTTTTACTATTTTCTGAAAGGATAAAACAGATTTTAAAAAATCACCTTATTCTTAATTGGGAGTGCAACATATTACAGTGAGTGAAAGAGAATATCCCAAACATAAAGGGATTTGAATGTCTTTTCACTTACTGCTTCAAAAGCTCTTTTGTACTCAGCCAGCTTCTCCTGACTGAAAATGCAATACTTTGCCAAAAAGTCGACTGCAAAGAGAAGAGAAGAAGACAAAGACAAACATTTAGAGCTTGTAGAAAGCGTATTAACTGTACTTCCTGACTGCACGAGAACAGCATGCTATCTTAAAGTTTGTTCTATGTTTTACATTTTATACCATGTATACAACATTAGGCATCTCTGTGCAAGCATGTGTGTGTGCAGATTGGATTAGAGCAATATTTCTCTCTGGTCGCACTAGGGTCATGGAGGGTGGACAATACAGGGCGAGTGGTTCACAGGGAGTCCAGTTGGCTTTGACTTGGGGGGGGGGGAGTGGCATTGGCTGCTGAATGGAGAGCCGCAGTGGTCAAGACCTTGAATAAACCACCCAATATTCTGCTTTAATCAAGAAAAAAAACCTATTACTATTAAAACTATTAATCGATCAACAGATATTAAATAGGCAACTATTTTGATAAACGATTTAAGCAAAAATGCCAACAATTCTCTGGTTCCAGCTTCTCAAATGTGAGAATTTGCAGCTTTTCTTTGTTTTATGTGATTAAAAAAAAAATTGGATATCTTTTGTGTTTTGCTCCGTTAGCTGGAGAAAAAAGATATTTTATAGACCAAATGATTAATCAAGATTTTAAAAATTATTGTTGTCCAACATGTGATTCTTATTAGCTTAAATCTGAGACTTTTGCATTGATTATTATGTACAAGCCACAGAAATGAGTCACCCTGTTTGTAAAGATGTCCGTAAAAATGTTTGTTTTTCATGACTTTGTGACTTTTTATGACCCTTTTATGTTTATAATCCTCAACTATTCCTCTTTAAAGATGTTTAATTGACTCGTTTTCAATAAAAAAAACAGTACCTTATTTCTTTAACACAAACGTAATGATCAATTTTAAAGTCTCCAATATAAAAACAATGATTACTTGAGGGGGCCAAACTGAGGTTAGCCACACCCATGAATATTTCAGTAGGCAAATTTGGGAGGGAGAGCGACTTAGGAAAAAAAAAAAAAAGGGTAGAAAATGGGGGCTTTTAAGCTGCTGCCACTTCAATTTAGGAGATGAGAATGAGTCTACTGAATAATGGATCTATTCATTGGTTGGGAGAAGAAAGAGGAGCAACAGAGTTGATATCAGTCTGGACTTAAACCCCTGGACCTCTGGGGTTTCTCTGCAATAGCAGGGGAGCTGTTTGAATCTGCCATTTATCAGCTTAGACCTAATCAAAACCAGGCCTTCCGTGGCCTCGTCCTTTCACATGCAAAATGTTACATTCGCATCTAGTCAACTTGACTTGTTAAAGCTTGATTGATCAAAAAAACCTGCAGGCCGGCTTCGCGCATCTGTTTGCAAATATCTGTGATGAGAAGGGGCTGCAGGACGAGGATCTGGAGTCACACACATGCAGCCGCTGCTCAGCCCGCATGGGACCAGGCGGGGATTTAAAGTCTGCTCTCTTCAAAAGACACCAACACACACTGACATTGTGGCTGCATCAGTGCACTGGTCAATCTGCTAAAGTGAAATGGCAGCTTGGTGAGAGAGTGAATGGATCCACCTTCTCTTTTTTTTTACAACAAGGCTGGTTGAGGTTGAGGTTCACTGACCATCTGGAGGAGAGTTAGCAGCTGACCTGTGGTGACTTCAGTGACTCCAGAAACACACATATAAACATATATTGTTTTTTAAAAGGACCTGTGGTGGTTTATTATGCTCTCTACTGCCCAGTCACAAACAATCAGGAGTGTGTGTGTGTAGGGAGGGAGTCCATCTTTTTTTTGCAGGTGGAAGAGCATTTACTCAAATACATTTAATTCAATTTAAAGATACTACGCTATATTAGATTTCTTTGAAACCCTCCCATCTGGCCGGAGGTTGCAGTCCATCAGGACCAAAACCTCATGCCACAAAAACAGCTACTTCCCGACTACAGAGACCCTGGGACACCCACTGACACTGACCTTCATCCCGCCCTATGGACACTACATGTTACATTAATGTAAAGTCTCCACAGTTACATTAAGGCCCATTTTTTTGCTAGGGCTGACACCTTCTGGTCGGTTGGTCGATATGCTCTTCTCCAACCAGATTCTCATTGGTTGGATAATCACTGGAGACACTTTAATAAGGAGAAAAGCACTTTTTAATCTATTGTTTTTTGGGGGGTGGGAGGGAGCAGATAAGAAATAACACTGATTATGTATGCAATTATTATATATATATGCATTTTACATATCCTAACTGTAAATGTATATTTTAGATTTATGACTTTTGACTTTTACAGTACTTTTTTTCTTTTCTCTTACTTCATTTTGACCGTTAAGCATTTCTTGTATTTGAAGAACTACTTTGAAACCTGTTTCTGATTCTAGTATACATTCAACATTTGACTTATTTTACTGCTGTTTTACTTTGCAAATGAGATTTTACTCAATACACACACTCAGCGTCCACTTCATAAGGTACACCTGTACAGCTGAATGCAATCCAATACAACTGTTCTGCCATAAAGTCGACTTTTATGATGCCTGTAATGTTCAGCTTTTGTTGACACTGTCACAGAGATGTTAATGAAATTTCAGCATTGGATAAAATGCAGTCTAGTACAACACCACCTTTAAATAGGACCTCAGTCATAAAGATATGATTTAATTCACACATTTCCAACAATGTCACCATAAACTGAACATTAGGAGCTGCACAGACAGACAGAGCTGTTGTATTGGAGTAAGAGTGTGTGGATATACACTATGTGTGAGAAGTTTATCTGCAGGTCGGTTTAAATCACATCATCAGGGCAATTTTAATAGATCATTTCTTGTGTTTTGCAACTGTGTCCAGTACCAATACTGTACTTAAATATAAATTTGAGGTACTTGTACTTTTATACTTAACGTATTTCCATTTTATGCAATGGTTTGGTTGTACTCCCACTACATCTTAGAGGCAAATTTTTACTTTTTTACTCCAAATTTGTCTGACAGCTTTACTTTTGAGCTTACAATTGTACACACACTTCCTGTCCAGTGATTTTTTTAGTTGTTTACAATTTACAGAAACAGTTAACTTGTACATTAGATTCGAATGTTTACATGTACCCAGCTTAGTTCTTGTTTTTAGCTGTGTCTTCTTGGGACTCTGTGCAACATCGAGAGCAACTTAAGCTGGAGTCAAATTCCTTGTAAGTGTTCACATACTTGGCAAATGAAGCCAATTATGATTGTAATGCTCTCTCCGAATTATTCTCAAGTTAGCATGTCTGTTTTATTATGGGGTTCATTGTAAAGGGAGTTTAGCAGGACCTCTAATCAGTGAATGTACTGTAAAACAATCACCAAAAATAGGTAAACTTATGGTTTGAGGAAAATATAATATATATATATATATTATACCATAAAACTAAGATACATTTAAAACAATTTGCTATGATATAAACTGTGATGGTAAATTCTTAGGATATACAGGAATATATGCTGTTTTGTGAATGAAGCAGAGTTTAAAAGAGTTCAAACTCAACATCAGTCCTAACCACAGCCTTGCTTGTTCTTGTCTACACTGCTGCTGTATACAACACACACACACACACACACACACAGAGTAATGCAGTGGTGCTGGTGGAGGTCGGGGGGTCCCTGGTTGAGGGGAGCACTCCGTCAGGGAATCAGCCGGACAAAAGGTGCAGTGGAGTGAGAGATTGAGGGAGGAAGCGAGGGCGGGTGGAGGAGCGGGACAAAGCCGAGGCAGTAAAGCCTCCTGCCTGATAGCCTTATCTGATTCCACTCCAGCGCTTGATGGCTTTTTTTCCACCCTGCCTTTAAAGCGCACAGGTTGTGCCTTTGGTGTGAAGCCTAGCAGAAAATGTTAATCAAGAGAGGGACTGTGTGGAGAAAGGCGAGAGAAAGGGGAGAGTCACTCTGCTGAGGCCATAATCTGTAATGAGACCGAGGCGATTCAGTTGCAATTGAGAGAGGAAGAATGGGGCCATGATGATGATGAGCAGGGAGGTTCACTCTTTCACTGGCGTTTGTTTTTCTGTTTTGTTCCTTTTCTCTTGCAGAGTCACTGCTCGTGCACCGTTCTGCAGGCTGCAAACAGCCGCGGGTCACAACTCATTTAACACACACTTGGACGTCACTTTTCAATGTCTGCAGCTGACAGATGAAAAACACTGCTGACTGCTCGTCTGACAACTATTGGTACTCATCTGTGTATGATTTATATTTCCTTTTGTGACCTTGGTGCAGCCTGAAATGTGTCCGTAGTATTGTGTATCAAAAACTGTCAGATATTAAAAGCTGGAATCAAATGTCCGGTCAGATTCAGTCTTGTTTGGTTATTTATACAGATAGTTCCTTATTTGAATCATAATTCTGCCATTTTAGGCTTGAATTTGATACAACATGTAATATTTGAGAAGTCTTGAGAAGGCTTCTTATGTCATATAAAAAACAAGTGGAAAAGAAGGTCAAGTACAGGTTCAGAAGCTCAAGTAGGCCTATGATAGCACCAATAGTATTAAATAAACAATACCATTTCCTCGAATTCAGTATCAACACAACACTGTCAGGCACCAAACGCAGTCATATAATGCATGTTTTAGTTTTATTTACCTACTTTACATACTCTGATTTAAGAGTATGTAAGTATGATTTAAATATTGTCTTAAGCTAAAGTTTAGCTGTTTTTCTTCTCCATCATGAATTTATTTAACTATTTAATTATGTGAAAAACTAAACTTAGGTTTACTTTAGGTTATCTTACAAGCTAGCTTTCACTTGATATCACCCTGCTACTATTAGCTGCTTTTTCTATGGCGCCACACTGCAGGAAGCACAATACATTTTTGTTTTGTTTTTAAGTCTGTTTTGTAGTTACTGCAAAGGTAAAAAAGGTGTTTTTAGTTACTCTGTTTTTGCAGCATGAAAGAGGGACAGCTAACAATAGCTAGCCCCTCTCTGTATAAGCTAGTTAGCCCGCTAGCTTCCACTTTTAAAGCAGAATACAAACTTAATAGCACGATAACTCC